TGTTCGTAGACGCCAGTTCCAAAGAACCGGAGATCTAGCTCCTAGCTCTGAACAGCGAGATTGCTTCCAGAATGGTCTCACTCCGGAACGAAAGTTGACGATCGCTCCAGACCATTCTGGAAAGTTGCCAAGGTACTAACGATGCACCCCCAAACCCATTCCACCACTCAAAGATGAATATGATGACGATCGGCTCATAATCACCCCTCAGGATAAAGCAAATGCGATTGGTGAGCATATTGCCAAATCGCACTTGCTTGGCTCCAACATCCAAAGTCCGCTCGAAGTTCAGATTGAGCAATGCGTACTCAACCTTGATTCCTCCCCTTGTGCTATCCCTCCGGAGGATAGAATCACAGTGGAACAGATTTGCTCAGCGCTGAAATGCACCAAAAACATGAAGGCGGTTTGACGGAATATTCAACCTAGTGTTGAAAAATCTCAGCATGAAGGTTCACTCTCTGCTGGCTGCTGTCTTCAACAGATGCTTGGAACTGCACTACGTTCCCAGTATCTGGAAGACAGCGAAAATCATACCTATCCGCAAACTCGGGAAGGACCCAACGCTAGCTTTAAGCTACAGACCAATCAGCCTCCTTTCTGCGTTGAGCAAATTGTTCGAGAAACTTATTCTCAATCGTTTGCTCAAGTTTGTCGAGGAAAACAACATTCTCCTACCGGAACAGTTCGGGTTCAGAAAGGGGCACTCCACCAATCACCAGCTAGTGGGGGTGATGAATAACATCCGAAGTAACAAAGCTGTATCCAAGTCCACATCCATGACCTTGTTAGACGTTGAAAAGGCGTTTGACAATGTTTGGCATGACGGACTTGTGTACAAGCTTTGTAACTTCAACTTCCCATTACACCTGGTTAAAATCACCCGTAACTACCTCCAGCAAAGGTCGTTCAGAGTATCGTTGAATGGCTACCTTTCAAACACGTTCTCCATCCCAGCAGGAGTTCCGCAAGGAAGTCTGTTGGGCCCTTTGCTTTACAGCATCTACACTTCCGACATTCCTCCCCTCGGAGACGGTTGCGTGTTCTTCCTGTTCGCAGATGATACCGCAATAACCGTCAAGGGTAGGATGCCTCGCGAAATAACAAACAAGCTCCAACGATGTCTTGACGCCTTTGCTGATTATGCCACCACGTGGAAAATCAAAATCAATGTCTCCAAAACACAAGCGATCATGTTCCTCCATCGGCAGTCACCCAAACTAAAACCGGCTCCCTCTTGTACTGTAATCATGGATGGCACAAGGGTTGAATGGTCTGCCGAAGTTACCTATCTCGGGATGTTGATCGATGAAAAGCTCCTCTTCCGTTCGCATGTAGAGAAAACTGTAGTCAAGTGTTCTGCCTTGGTTAGGTGTCTGTAACCGCTGATTTGCCGCAGATCCCGCCTCTCAAGGGTGAACAAACTTGCCGTCTACAAACAAATTATAGCACCTGCGATCCTCCGGTGTGGGAATCATGTGCACAGACTCACAGGAACAAAATCCAGGTCGCTCAGAACAGAGTGCTTAGGATGATCTCTGATCGTCCCTCTGACACAAGAGTTTCAGACCTCCACCAAGAGGCGACCGTTCCAAAATTAGATTTCAAAATTGATGACATTAAGACTAGGTTTGTGCAGAAATGCAATACATCAGAACATGCTTTAAATAAGCAATTTGAATATAGTAGGTTAGGTTTAGTAGCTTACCGAATTATTCGGCAGGGTATTGGGGTTGGTGCACAGGAATCTTGTTAAAGAGGGGCATTTTTTTTTCTTTGGTGCATTCAACCTGTGGATGGGGAGTACTCCAAAGTACGTCGTAGATGGTGCTGTCCTCTTCCCACTTTTTCCCTATTGTTCAATTTAGCTAATTTTATTTATTTATTGCTCCAGTGGTGGTTCATCCTCTTTAACGCAAACTGCTTTCAGACAGCCAATGGAAATTTTCAATTTAATCTCATCGACGATGTCGATGATGATCGGTTCGTCAAATGGTTGCGATAGTAGGCTTTATCCGAAATTATACATTTGCTGCGATGTTGTTACCGATGTTGTTATCTGAAGTCACGTCAGATGGTGGTGATAGCATCGACAAACCGAGATGAATGACCAATAAGAATCGCATTCTCCTTTCGTATGCACACTGCGTCGACAAGTACAAGGTTCAAACAGTGCGCATAGCAGTGAAGCAACAGTATATTGCTCTTGATCAATCCAATCTTGATCAGTGATATTGAGTGCTTGGCACTGAAATTCCCTTAGAGTTTCAGAAGAATGTACCCAGTATTATCCAGAAATTATTCCCGGAATGAGCTGGAAATTATCGGTACTCCCTTGAAATTGTCCTCAAAACCCCTTTGGAATTTCACTCACAATTTAATTTCCTCGGTATTCTTTTCGGAATTATCTTGGAACTATAACAGGATTCACTAGAAATTATTCGCAGAATTTTCTTGGAATACTCCCCAGAAATTCTTTGGGACTGTCCTCAGAATTCAATATCCTTGAGGATCTTCTCGGATTTTTTTTAGAACTATCTGCAGGATGTAACAGAAATTATCCGCAGAATTTTCTTTGAATTCTCTCCAGATATATTTCGGAACTGTCCTAGAAATTCAATATCATTGAGGTTCTTCTCGGAATATTTTAGAACATCCCTTTGGAATTTCATTCAAAATTGGATTCTCTCGGTATTCTCTCCGAAATTATCTTGGAACTATCTGCAGTATTCACTAGAAACTATTCGCAGAATTTTCATGGAATTATCCCCAGAAATCATTTCTTTTGGAACTTGTCTTCAGAATTCAATACCCTTGAGGTTCTTCTCGGAAGTCAAGTTTAAGTTGTCCGTCCATTCACCAAAACGTTGTAGTTTTTCTACCAGAAATGTTCAATAAAGCTTGCCCCTCCATTCACCAGAACTGTGCAATTTTTACATCAGGAATTTTCAATTCAGCTAGCGCCTCCATGCAGCAGATTTTTGCACCAGAAATTTTCAATACAACTTGTCCCAGAACATTTTACACCAGAAAATTTCAATTGACCAGAACGATGCAAATTTTCCACCGTTAATGTTCAATAAAAATTGTTCTCCAATATTCTGATTGGTGCAAATATCCTTTTTCCATTTCCACCAGACATTTTCAATATAGCTTGCTTCTCCTATCATCAGAATGTTGCAGGTTTTCCACCAAATAAAGCTTGCCCTTATTTTTAGATTTTTCAGCATAAATTTTCAGTTGAGCAGCTTCCCTTCAATCATCAGAATGGTGCAAATTTTACATTTTTTTTTTCCGTTCACCAGAACGGTGCAGATTTTCCTCCAGAAGTTTTCAATATAGCGTAATTAAAAAAAGCTTGTTCCTTCATTAACCAGACCAGTGCAAGTTTTCCACCAGAAATTTTCTGTTCATTTCATTTATCAGAGCGATACAAATGTTGCACCAGAAATTTTCAATAAAGCATGCTCCTCCATTCACCAGAACGGTGCACCAAAAATTATCAGTGAAGTTTGTTTCACCATGCACCTTTGTGGTGCAATTTACAGGCTTTGCCTCTTCATGCAAATTTTCCACCATAAATTTTCAATGAAATCATCAAATTATCAGAACGATGCAAATTATGTACCAGAAACATGAATAAACCTTGCTTCTACATTCACCACAGTGTTGCGAACGTTCCACCAGAAATTTTAAGTTAAATGTGCACCTCCAATTTTTTTGCGTGATTCAATTTTTCCACCAGAACTATTAATTGATGATATTTTTACACCAGAATTATTCAATAAAAAGCTTTTTCTACGATTCACCACCATGAAGGTGAATTTTTTCAAACTTAAATTTACCCTCTTCTTTTAACCCTCCATTGAAAAAAAAATTACGCCAGAATTTTTTTGTATGCGCCACTGGGGTGCAATTTTTTGACCAAAAAAATTTCAATGAAGTTTGTCCCTTCATGCACCTTTGTGGTGCAATTTTCAGTCACCATCTCAAAGGAATTGACGCAATAAACGGTTTTCAGTGCCCTTATAGTATGAAATCAAGACCAACAATTGAAAAGGCCTCAACTCAATTTTGTAAACACACCTTGTAAGGCCATTTTGTCGCAAACCGAAGTCCGCCAACGCAAACCAACAAAATGAACAGGTAGGGGAAATTCTCATCTACCCGATTGTGTCTTAGGTTTGCGAATGTAGATTTTGGTTCGCGAGAAAATGGCCTTACAAGGTTTGTTTACAAAATGGAGTTGTGGCCTTTTCAATTGTTGGTCTTTAAATGAAGTTATTTACCTTCAAATCAAGTTATCAAGAAATCAAGTTATTTCATATAATAATTTGGAAATGTGGAAATAAACATCATATTGATAAAAGGAGGGGCAATTGCCCCACCTTGCCCCACCCTGTGCACGCCAGTGGTTGGTGGGCTCTGACAAGTAGCTCTGCTTCAATACACGTTCATACCTGACTTTAGAATTTACTTTGATAAAAGTGCGAACTAAATATTAAAATTGGTGTAGAGGACAAAAAAATTTTGTTTAACTTATTTTCTAAAAGTTCCGTTCAAGTTCCGCCAGAATCTGCTTAGAATACTGTTCAATTGTCGTACCGGAACTTTCAAGTTCTTTTAACGGCTTAAAAATAAGGCTGCTTAGAATTCTATAGACCACCTTCAACCAAGCTGCTTAAGCCTCAAATAATCTTTTATCAGAACTGAACTCAAATTGACAGGAAATTAAAAACCATCGGGACATTCATGCTTCCCTCACACATTTCCACAATTTTCCGCTACATCGAGCCACCCTCAGATTCCTCCTCGAGAAGCTTTCAACGAAAAACTTCCACGAAATGCGCACGCTCGCTTTTCACGAACGAAAAGTTTCCCCCCGTCATCAGCTGTCGTATGTTCGCTGCTGCAATATTGTGCAATACTGAGATAGCTTACCCATACTGTTTTGAAGAGTGGAAAAGTGTCAACAGGAAATTTTCACCAGAAATCATGTTATTCAAAAGTTAAGCATGTTCCATTCCGCAGTACCGATTCAAACCCATTCCAAGCGCTGAAATGTAGTGTAACTCGTTGATCACGTGTCAATCCGCCCGCCCAGATCTCATCAAAATGGTAAATATCGCCAAAAACATGAACCATTCGCTCGTTTCATGTTTTGCTCGGAATTTTCTTCGGACCGATCGGCTGCCTATTTACAAGCAAGCGTGATCCTCGTTTTGTGTAGAAACAGCGTGCAAAGTGCGACAACAGAATTTTCTTGGCAAACACTCCGAATGCATGCAGATGATGCACCCGCATTCGGCGGATTGCGGTAGGCATGATGCAAATGCAAAAATAGACTTTGGCCAATCACCCTTTTTCATCGTAGTCGAGAGTCGGTCAGTGTTGTGATACGATACGGAACGCTAGAACAAACGGTGCGCTCTGTGCCTGCTTTGGTTTTAGAAGGAGGCTATTCTGTGCGGCCATTTGACAGAGCGGTTTTCTGCTAGGTGTGAACATTATTACTACTGCTGCAATCATGTGCTGAGTCGGCGTTTTGCCGGCCCTTAAACGCCCCATTTCAATCTTTTGAAGCAAATTTTTCTCGGATGAGAAAAATTACATAATTCATTTGATGCGGCTAATCGAGAAACTCTTCTCTAATTACCCCGAACAGCGTTCGAACGATCACCAACCGCCGGAGCATTCGATTGGGATGGACTTCCTGCTGGGAGGCTGTGCGGCAACCTGCGCCGGGTTGTTCAGCAATCCATTTGACGTCATAAAAACGCGCCAACAGTTGCAAGGCGAACTAATGGATGCGGCGGAAACACAAAGGAATCCCTACCGTTCGATCACCAAATCGTTCCAATCGATCCTGAAAGCCGAGGGAATATCCGGTCTGCAGAAGGGATTGGTATCGGCCTTGGCTTTCCAATTCACAATGAACAGTGTCCGACTGGGGATTTACCAGACGGCGGAGAACTACGAGTGGACACGGGGCGACAGCAAGTTGGGGACGTTGTTATACTCGATCTTCTGGGGCGGGTTCAGCGGAGTGATTGGAGCGACGGTGGCTTGTCCGTTGTATATGATCAAGACGCAGATCCAGGCCACTTCGCACGGAAGGTACGCCGTTGGGTTCCAGCACAATCACACGGGGACGGTGGATGCCCTGGCCGGAATCTACAGGACCTACGGCATCAAGGGACTGTGGCGGGGATATCCGGGCATAGTGACTCGTACGGCCGTGGGATCCTCCGCCCAGTTGGCGACGTTTTCCAACTGCAAGGACTTTTTCGTGCAGTTCGAGTTCTTCCAGCAGTCGGTGGCGTTTACGGCGTTCGCTGCCAGTATGTTCAGTGGGTTCTTCTGCTGCGTGTTTATGTCGCCGTTCGATGTGATTGCTACCAGGCTGTTTAATCAAGGTAAGACATTCGATTGACTACGTACGGATTTAAGGAAATACCAAATTCAATGTTTATTTAAAAAATCAACACGCGATTAATTTCTTTGAAGTTTTACGTGTCACTATTTTAAATATTTGAGAATAGGGGGGGAGAAATAAAACTTGACCAGCTTGTTAAAAAACTACCAGGGACAGCCCTATGGGGTTTTACGCAATGCTGACGTAGGACTACGTGGTCTTATAAAATAAATCTTATTTGTTAACTGCTGCAGTAGCTTATATTTTGTGTAGGAATAGGAATTAGAGCGGGGTTCTTTCTGTTTATACTCTTTAGTATGACGCGCTTGGCATAGATGACCCACAGCGACTCACGAAGAGCTACTGATTCCGATTCTTCCTCCTTCTATGGATGCACATGTGGGCTGCAGCTAGTTGCTTCCGGGGAGCCTTTCGTTGTGTACTGGAGAACCACGCGGTGATTGAATAAACACCGTTTGGTGAGACCGGATGGAATTCAGCTTTGAAATCTGTGTTAGGGAAATCGCTTTTCGCAGGCAATCGGTGATAATTTTAATTATCATAGTAACAGTTGCACACTCGTGACATTTTGAAAAAAAAAATGATGTAATCTTAATTTTAACAAATGCGTGGAAATAGTTTTGATCGGTTGGTGATAAAATTATTGAAATTGGTCCAGGGGCAGCTAAGTTATTTACGTTCAAAATCTTTCATAATTTTGTTACATGTTCCATTTTCGGTTTTCAAAAAGAAATCACAGCCGTAGTCCTACGTCAAAAAACATTGGGATATCGTACGTATTCTTGTTTTCTGAGAATATGTCAAAAGGTTTGCATTGCTCATTTAAGAAAGATTAAATCAAATCAGTTCTTTCTATTGATTTTACTATATAGTAATGTCACAAACGAAGTGACAGACGGAGCGGCTCAAAAACTTTGGTGAAGAACCTGCTATTGCAATTTTTCAGTGTACCACATGGCAACACTACTACTGGATTTTACCACATGGCAACACTAAATGCACTAGAATGTTTTGGTTCTATCTCTTTCACTCTACTCAAAACTGAATTGCATAAAAAAAACTCTTTGTACACTGTCGAAGATCATTGCACACAAAATCAACTTTGTTCAAATCAAAACAAAAATACTATCCCATCTGGTGGAAAATTTTATTACATTGAACCACAATGGATTTCTTCGCCAGTTAGTCGTCTGTCACTTCGTTTGTGGTATAACCAACAATCAATACGAAACTATCGATTTTAAATTGACTCACTACTTGACTAGCCTATTGGTCCCAAGCAAATCGTTTAACTTACCCCATTCTAGTCGAAGTTCTAGTACCATACAATGTTTGTTTTGATTCGCTATGAAAGTTTGTCAGATAAAATGAGGGGTTAGTGGATTTTCCTATGTTTCTAGGGGTGAACTTGGGACCGAAGATTTTTTTTTTTCCTCTGTTCGGGACTTAACACTACTGCGACCAGTAAATTGATCTAGTGTAGTATATCCCGTGTCCTTAGTTTAGTGCATGTCGTATTACTCCATCACTATGGATCATTGAAGATGCTGAGGTTTTGACAGCACCGTACTGTGGCTACCACAGTATTTTACATTGGTTCGTCCGTATACAGTAGCGCCAAATGAAAGCTGTGGTGGGTTCAAAACTCAGCCATCTAAAATGATCCATTGAGAAATGATGAAGCATTCGATTTTTTTTTTTACAGTTGTAACTCTTACATTTATTGCAAGGATCCGCCTCTAATTGAAAGGTCCCGCTATTTATACCCTTCGGAGTGTTGAAACACCCTCCAAAGGCGCGCCCCTTTGTCAGTCAAAGTTGGATTCCTTAACAACAAAATTAAGGTATGACACCGATAATGACCATGCATCAGAACCCTAGTCTTAACTGAAGAGGTTTTCGGATGAGCACGCAAAGGAAAAACTCACGGATTGATAGAGAGAAAATAAAAACAACGTGTATTCACTTGGTTTGATTTGGATGTAATAAAAACGGAAATGCAACTGTCAAAACGGCCGCGGCCGAAAATACCCCAGTGGTGTGGAAAAACAGTGGGGGCACATGGAGTGCAGTGGTTGCCATCTCAACATTAACCACTTCAAACTAGGGAACAACGAATAGAAGATTAGTAATCACATAGATGAAGACAACTAACTCATTTTTTTGCCTTGTTTCAAGATCATCCTCGGTAGACAAAGCCGAGTCTTGTCACTATCAACAAGGCATAAAAAGTAACAAGGACTAAGATGTGTTCCTTGGATTACTGAAAAATTCTGTTCCCCTAGTTTGAAGTAGTCAAAACTAGGAATCGGTGGTAGATCTTACATCCCGTAACGTACCACGAAAAGGTGATCTACCCACGTTACGGGGCAAGGGACCGAAGATAGTCGACTAGTACTAGTAGATAGTACTAGTACTAGTCTTAGAGTTACCTCTATGGTTTTGCCTTCACTTTAGTGCACCGACCAAGTGTGCTCTAGAAAACTTCAAGAAACTTCGAGCGTAATTTTTGGACAGTGTCTTCCGGTTTCTGGAGAGCAGCGGCGTTGACCAGCGAGTTGAAAGGAATCGACCACAGGTTTTCCGATTGCTTCCCACGTTTGTGTTGATATGATCGTGACATCGGAAGCGCAGTCCAGCTGAAGAGTTGCATCGTTGCCATTGACTCCAACAGAATCCTATTTCCTCTTGCCTTGAAGATCTTGACTCGATGGGAATTCCTTTGGACTTGATGAACTTCTTGGGCTTGGGTTTTCAAACTTCTTTGCAGGTTTCGATTTTGATTCGGCAGTTGAGCAATATCTTTCTTTATGCCTCTTATGTTTGCACTTGTTGCAGTTGTGGTCTTGATAGGGACATCCCTTCAAAAAAATGCAGATCACCGCAAGCTGGCTTTTTTTCCTTGAGAGGTTATTGCTATTGAAACGACGTTAAGAACGGATTTCTCTATTTGGTGTCCTGCTTCAAGTAGTTGAACCGATGGCACTCTTTTACGAGACTTTCCAAGGTGAGCTTCGAACCTTCCGCCGGCGGAGTATTCTCTTCAGCTTCCAACTTACTGATTCATCGGGTGCGGATGTCTGCATCTCTCGGAGACTGTATACCATAATCAAAATGTAGTGCCTTGAACTGGTCGTTGGATAACTTTGAGAGCTGCAACGATTCACAGTATTTATTCACGGAGGCAGTAAAGCTTGAAAAATCAGCATCGGTCTTCATGTATTGAAGGCACAGGAACCGTTCGTTGGAAAAGGAGGTCTTGCGGCCGTTAAGCTTCTTGAGTTTCTTCACCAAATGCCAGAACAAAATCGCGTGGATGATTTGGTAGGATACTAACTGTAGAATCGTGTCGTTTCGGATATTACACTGATACTTTGGCACGCACGTCTAGTCTCGTTGGTAGAAGAAATTAGAGTATTTTATTATCTTTTTGGCACACAAGTCATGGCGCTCTTTTAGGTAGGGATGTCAAAGTATAGAACTACTCAGGGATGTGCATTACAAGATTTATACAAACCACGTTAATTATAAAAGGCAGGACCAATACTACATCCCTCTCTTTCTCAAAACTAATAAATGTTACCAACTTTGTAGTCTTTGAAATACGATGGATGCTTAATCTCTCTTCTTGGACGCAATTTCGTATCAGTTTTCGAGAGTCTCTGTTGGTTGATATTTTCCATTTCCGCTTCTCCTTCATTGGTTGATGTACGGTCCAGATCTAGTTGTAACGATTCCTCGCCGTCCTTCTCAGTTTCCAGGTCGCCATCCTTGTTTCCGGTATCCTTGGTATCTGTAAAATCCTTTCCACTTCCCCATTCGCCTGAGGCCAATAGGGTGTTGTTCTTCTGTGTTCAATGCCAAACTGTTTACAAAAATCTTGGAGTTCATTGCTGATGAACTGGGGGCCGTTATCGGTTTTTATGGACTCAGGCATTCCGAAACGGCAAAACGTTTCATGTAGAGTCTTCACAGTCAAATGTGCCGTAATTTGCTTCATGATTATCACTTCTGTGAAACGACTAAAGTAGTCCACAATCACAAGCAGGTTATGACCGGATGGTAACGGGCCGATGAAATCAATTGCAAGATCGGCCCAAGCTTTTTCAGGTAATTTGGTGCGGTTCAGTGGCTCAGGAGGATTTAGTGTTGATACTAGAGTACAGTTTTTACACTTCTTAACGAATAACTCAACTTGCTTATCCATCTGTGGCCACCACACCTTTTGACGAAGCCTTCTCTTCATAGCCACCATTCCCGGGTGAGATTCGTGGGCGATTTCCAATACTCGTGACTTTAGCCGCTCTGGAATGACTAACCTATCTCCTCTCAACAGTAAGTTTTGAACTCGATACAACTCTGAGCTAAACGGTTTGAATTCCTTAGTAATTTCATTCCATATTCCAGTTTCCAAACTCTGTTGAACACTTTGAAGCACTGCATCTTTCAAGATATTCTCTTCGACTTCTTCAACAGATACGGCGCTAAGAAATCCAGATAAAGCCAATTGTAATATGCAACCTTCATCCGATGATCTGTATGCTACAGGATTGGTCACTGATAATCGAGAAAGCGCATCGGCCAAATTGTTTGCTCCCGGCTCATACACCACATCAAAATTGTACGTCTGCAGACGCAATACCCACCGTTCTATCCTGGCACAAGGCTTGGATCGCTCTTTAAACAGGAACTTTAAAGGTTTACAGTCAGTTATTAGTTTAAATCTTTTTCCGAGCAGATATAATTTGAACCTATCGACGGCCCAAACCAATGATAGCGCTTCCCTCTCCGTTTGAAAATATTTTCTTTCGACCTCTGTCAAAGACTTGCTTGCGAACGATATGATTCTCCTTTTACCACCTGCATCCTGTTGAAGCAAAACAGCGCCCAATCCACTGGGACTCGCATCGGCTATTACAATACAGAGATCTTTGGGATCATAATAGCCAAGAAAATTAGTTCCACTCATAGCAGACTTGA